ATTTTATTGATACTGACAAAATCCGACCATTCCACCGTCGAATCAGCATTGGGTTATTGCTGATTACCATAAGAGTACATGCAAACTTTAAGTCACTATAATTTTTCAAAAGACCCATGAATTGATTTAAAATTTTGCAGATAGCTCTTTAATAGTAATAGGAATCTATAATAACACATTCAACATGCTAATTGTTTAAGTATATAGCCTATACATTCTTAAATTCATGACTCGTGATGATGCTTAAATTCATTTAATTGTAGACAGTAGCCGGTCTTTATGGGTTTCAGTGAAGTTAAATTATGATTAATTGAATTGTTGGTTGTTCTGCTCCACATGTTGTTTCCGTTTGCTGTATGCAGTGATTTAGTTTTTTTCAGTTAGACTCGATACATTCCTATTCTTTAGATAACAAAAATGAAGGAACGCGATGAGTCACGGTGAAAGATACTTTCTAAAACTGACGCCTCTCCATTATCGTCCAATGTTTAAGGCTTTTTTTATATTGCTTGAACATTGTTATCCACAAAAACGATATCAGTATCTTATAATTTCTCTTCGCACAAAGAAACGTATCTTCGGTCCTTGGAAAATCTAACGTGATCAAGGATAAAATCACAATTTATAATTTATATTCTTTTATTTCACGCATAACTTTAACTGGAATAATAATTTACTATGTGCATTTTTACATGATTTATTATATTACGACTGATTTGCTATAACGGTTCGAGCGAGATACTCGCTGTCAGATTTTCTGATAACGCTTGGTGGTGCCCTGAGGCTTACGAATGTCGTTATTGAGTTACGCAAAATTAGTCCGGTGATTAAAATCGCTTATTGGTCATGCACGAAGGACCGGTGCGAAGGATGCTCATCGAGCTCGAGGAAGATATTTACCCTGACCCACTTCCGGTCAAGTTCATTGCTCATCCACGGCACGTTGGCCTCACCTTGCACGCGTGCCGTGCCATTCCTCGCTCTTCACGAGCATCTTTCTCTCGTTTCTCCTCTGCTCACCTGCCTCCCACGATAATTCTCCAAGTGATCAATAGACCGTGGATTTTCACGCGAAACATTTATGGCATCTGTTCGAGGAACGTGTTCTATAAAACGAATTTTAACTTCATTCGTTGTAAGAACATTTATTTAGCTCGAGAAACCCAATTTCAGACAATGACTTGTCTTAGATTCTGTAGATCAGTTGTCTTTGGGAAACTTGTGCGGTAAAAAGGTATTCCATATCGGGACGTGGTAAGAAAAATTGATCCACTTTCGTGATTTCTTTTATTCGAAGCTTTTCATGAACTTTCATCCGCTCGTTTAAGAATCTTGCACAATTACATCGACCATGCAGTTTGCACGCAAGACTCGATCCGACACGTGATAGAAAGTAAGCGAACCGACTGTCCACGCTGTCTTTAACTCACCTTCAATGATATGCAAAAATGAAAACAACCTTTCCATCATACCAGAAACACACGTTTTACTATACATTTGTTTCGAAGAATTTACATTTTATGTCGATTTCAAAGCATTTTATTTTTTACTTCAGTCCACTCATTAGACGTCATAGCACATTTTTGTTGCCTCGAACGTGCTTTACGTTCTTGCATGTTGTGTGCAGTGTTGGAATTTCGGCGCACTTGTTTCTCTTATAAAACCCATCGTTTATTTGTCAGTAAGCAAAACGCGTGTACGTTAGAAGAAAGTGGTTGTATCGTGTGAAGGACTTGTATACTCAGCCGTGAGAAACTCAAGCAGGCGGAACTGAAGCCATGATAAAGGTCAGCCGCGTAACAAAGCTAAAGTTTAGCTTCCCGTATACGGAATCGATCTGCTACGCCCTTTTTCAGCGTAGGATAGGTACTTTAAACGGTGAATGCGTTTGATGCGCATTCGAGAATTAGATCGCGTAACGTGTGGACGGAATTTTAATTCGCGTTACGTCATCTGTAATTGGAATACCCGGCCGAATAACAATTATGGGAACTGAGACTAGTAAATTGTAGCAACGAAGAATTGTAACACTGAATTTTAATGTTTAACACGATTCTTGAATTATTTTGTCAGAAACAAAATAAAAATGCAGTAGTAATCTTTTCTTTCTCTTATTATTTACCAATTTCATTGAAAAACACAATTAAGGAATTAGTTCAAAAAGCTCATCGACTGAAATCTCAGTAATCAGAGACAAGTTTGGGTTGAAATTAGAATCCAAAGACACAGTAATAAAATTAGTTCAGCATTTTATACAATTTCTATTATTATTATTTTATTCAAGAAAATAATTAGAGAACTAAGTGCAAGAAGACCAAGTTTAAATTTTAATAATCAAGAACGAATGAGAACTCATTTTCTACTGCAATTGTACAATTTGTCCGAGCCCGTGAGAACAAAATAGAGCGAGCCCCAGTTCAATTATCATTCCATTATGCTCCGGATCCCTGTTTGCGGAAAGTTCGTAACATGAGGAATCCTAGGCACTCGATCACGAGATTCTATGATTTCTACAGTTACGCTGCGTTGATTCATGGATTTCATTAAACTTTCGTATCGATGCCCGAACGCGATTTTTTCAAACGAACCTTTCGTTCTCTTATCACGTATTTATATCGTTTACCACGTGGAAGTTGGTATTAGCTTCGTAATCGGTTAACACTGTACGTAGATTGTTTGCACAGATCGCATTCTACATATACAATTTTTCTACAAATCCATAAAACTCTGTAGCGCGTTAATAATTTTTAAAGATTTATTATTATCCGGAAGATTAATTCTGGATGCGTTTCGTACGCGGTGAAACAGGTTGCGGTTAATAATCGTTAAAGATTTCTCACGGGAAAGATCTTGACCCGCGCGGGTCGACATTTCACGATACAGATAGTTGCGAGATTAAACTTATATCTTGGCAACGAGCACAGTTTGTACGCTCGGTTGTGCAATTCTTTCTTTTCACTACGTGTTGCGAATTATTTACTACCTATCTGTATACAGAATTGCAAAAGCGTGTAGCATGTAGAAAAATTACCCCATAAATAAAATAACCGAGAAGACGCTTAAAAAAATAATTAAAATTATCCCATCAAAAGCAACAAAATAATTTGTCAGCTCGATATCGGTATTTGATTTCCTTTTTATAAAATTGTCACATTTAGGTCGTTCATATTATTTAATGTCCATCAGATAAATGAATCTAATTAGCAGAGGTATGATCCGACATAATCACGAATCGCAGTACGGTTCTAGTCACGGGGCGATTACGGTGCATTCAAAACATCACTCAATGTTCTCTGAACGGCCTAATACACGCGTGCACGTGCTGAAATACGTCGCATGTCGGTCACGTTCCATCGCATTGAATAATATTTGATTATACCGTGACAGATTCGTTGGCATATTATGACTACACAACAGACGTTCATTGAATCTTCAACGCCATTATACTTGCAGTACATCACACAATAGCAGGCGTGAAATCAATTCAGTACATTTTTTATTAATTCTTGAACCAAAATACGTGTATATGTTTATTACTGGAGTAACGTGATAGAACAAATGCAAGAATTACAAGATTAAATCTTGTTCTTTATGCTTCACTATACCTGTGCTAGGGAAATAACTCTTGTCTAAGTAGCTTTGAATTTTCATTTAAAATGGTGTCCAACGAGTCTTATCGAGGCTTCCAGCTCGTTGTTACCGAAACTGTTGGATGGATCGGGGTCACGGGCAATGGAGAAAGTTTTCTAATCGCTTCCGTGGGACGATTCCCGATTCCGTGTCTGAAACGCGTTAAGAAGATTTGTTCACGCATTCTCGCCTCTGAGCTAGTTGGCGAATTGCAACAAATCCTTTGAAACCGATTAGAGGACTTAACGTTGCAATTTATCAAACGTTTATGAAATATTGTTGAATAAATTTGTGCTGCGTTTGTGATGCAGCGGAATCTTACTTTCACACTCGGACCGGACCAAGCCCACTGCTTTCAGACTCACAGGCTACAGTAGAATCCTAAGAACTCTCTTTTATCGGAACGGGGTGGGATGACGCGAAGTAGATCATCGATTATGGGCTGTAATTATAGGCGAAGGTAAACCAAATTAATGGAAACACGCTGATGGAAAGTGAAATTGAGTGAAGAAGATTGCGTGGCTCCTTTTTTTTAAGAATTCACGACTGAGATTTAATAATTTAACTTTTCTATTTGAATTTCACATCTAATTATTATGTATATAAGAATCTATACGAATTGTCATTTAAAACAATACGATTATTCATTTACTCGTCATCGATTCTCTATAAAAATTGCAAAAAACCGAGCGACCAGGCGGTGAAAAAAAAATGGTAAGGGAATGCGACCGGACTAGATTGACGTGTCACGGGAGAGCAAACAATTTAGAAAATCACGATTACGAGGTCAGAAGGGATGCGAGAGGCCGATTTGTCGCGACGTGTTGAATCCGGCTCGGAATCGTGAAAACTGGATCGACCGGCTGCCTCGTAACTTTCCAACCGTGTGTATGAAAATTTCAACGGGTCGAACAGGGCCACCGGGCCCGGAAATAAAAAAAAAATATGCACATATGGATTCAGGTTCTCTGGCAAAATATTTCTTCCTGTTGTGAAAGTTCCACTAAAATGTTGTTACAAAACGTTTCACATGTAGAATTCCAAACAATTGAAATAGTAATATTCAGATAGCGATATTTTGTTTAAACATGGAATGACTACAGTATTCGTACATTGTTTATTTTTTTAAATATTCCAATAGATTTATTTTTATCATAAAGCTACGATTTAATGTTTGATGATTTGTTAGAAAATACGAATTTGCAATTATTCTGATCTATTCTAATTTCAGATATAAATAATTCACTGAAGGATGATTGAACTTCCAGTGAATATCGCAAATTAATACATTAAGATGGTAACGAGTTTCGTGCCATTAAAAAATTGGGAGACGAAGTTCTCGCTGAAATTAAATAGACCTTGTCGTTGTGGGACGTTTAATTCCCTCCGAGGATGTCCTTGGACAGGCGGATCGATGGTTCCTCGATGAGAGAGACCCGAATCCAAGTCGATCTCTCGACCTCGACTTTCACCCTCGGCGCAAGGTCTAGGACACTCAGGTGAGACGGGATCCTCTTCCTATGAATGAAGAGTCGACCATAAACAGGTTTCGAAAGGTCTTCCGAGTTTCTTGACAGCAGTACCATAACTTCAGTAACGGTACTTCTTCCAACGTTAGTGATGTTGAGAAAGAGGCATCGGTAATTTCTATTAATGTAATGTAAAGGACGGATATATGGATGTCTTCAATTATAGATTTTGATTGGAGAAATGTTTGATAAACAAATATATCTTGGAGTGAAGGTATGAGATGTCTACCGATTTAATATCAAGTTGTCATAAATAATATGCAGTGTTTTTTAATAAATATAATAATTTACTATCAAAAGTTATTCATTTTTATATATTCGTCAAATGAATTCATTTATTTCTACATTTCTTATATTTAATTAACTAAATTCCTCTTATTTCCTGCATTTTATAAATGATTGTTTAATTTGTTCAAATATTTGCATCAATGATAAATAAATACTGTGACCACTGAACTATACGATTGAGCAAACATTCACTTAGTATTTTTATGGATCCAATTTCTTGTAACTCGGGCAATCGTTTCCATTTTCCCGGGACAAATTGAAAGGATTTTCTTTTATTTACCATGAGCAATCTTTGCTTTTTCTTTATACCGTCGAATTGGGTCGAATCGGTCTCCATATTCAAATGGGCGCGACAAAGGAAATTGCGTCGGCGACTGTTATGCGAGTGCGTCATACTGTCGACGGTGTCCTTAGAGAAAGAGAAAAATGGAAATGTGAGTCAGAGTGTGAGTCGCACAGCTTCAATCGTGGTTTCACTTTCACCGTTTCAGACGTTCCTTAGCCGTCATTTGATCCCTCCTCTGACCTCATTCCCTTAATAAATAATTCAACGTCGATATTACAAAAAACAAGCCTCATATTTTATTATTTGTTATTATTAAATTGTTATAAGTAGACTGCAGATTTTTATGGAAAATGAATTATCTATAACAGATAAGAATTTTTTTATCTTTGAAGAATTCTCATTGATTATATGGTCATTTTATATTTTCTGATACTATTTTCCTATGAACGTATAAAATCTTCAGAGTATAAGGAAAGTATGTGACAATTCTTTTACAGAACGATTTGCTTATGAAAAGTTGGTGAAAAAGAACAGACTGGTTTTGGATATTAAAAGCTTTCTTTATTTATAATTTTATGAATATAATAACGATCTTATCACTTCTTATCGTAAGTACATCTCGTCGAGAACGACGACCAAGTTCCAGAATTCGATCTAAACAACAGTCATATATATAATATTTAATAATTAATGTACGTTAATGATTAAATTTACAATTAATTTCGTTTTCCCTTGCTCATTGTACGATCTGGACTTGGTCCGTACATTCTTTCAGCACTCTCTTCCGGTTCTCCGAATCGTCGCAGCCGATCGCGTTTCTCGAAATCTATATAATTTTCTTAAAAATTTAATGATCACTCGTATCTCTCGCTCGCTCGTGCGTTCCTCTTAACGGCTAGAAACACTTTTAACGAAGATTCATAATATAACACGAAGAAACTGGAGCATGCAAACTCGAAAGTGCGTGTACGAGAGAATAATGAGCGTGAGTGTGTGTACTCTTGTTGCACGTGTCCTTGTTTCGCGCTCCGGAAAGAACAGAAATCCAAAAACGTGCGAGTTTTTTTTATCTCCTACCCTTATCCTTTATAGAGAGACGCGCTGAACAGAGAGAAATGGTCTTTCGAAAATTCGTGAAAGGAATCCTCCTCAGACACGTTGGAAGTACAAAATTGGAAGAGTAGAAAATTGCGCGTGAAATCCTCCCGGTGACAAAATTCTACCGAATACGTTCTTTAAAAAGAAAGAAAACAAATAAGACTGAACAAATATTTACGCTAAGTTTTACCGTGAAAACTAACAAATAAATCGAACGTACCCGGATTTTAGCGGAAGGAACATCGCAGGGAATGATTGTACAAAATGCAGCCTCGTGTGATTTAAAATCTTCGAAATCAACTACGCTTCTGATTGTCCATTGCGTAATTAAATAATCTAACAAATAGAAAAGCTAATTAAACTTGACAATATCAATTCCAATTTGTCTAACTAAAATCGTCACGACTAATTAAATTATCTTGAAAACACGCTTTCGTTTGTTTAAAAGTACATTTTAAATCACACGTCCAATGGTCACATAGCTAAACGCAATGAAGTCGAATATCACAAACCTTGCTAACGCGGAATTCGTTGACTAGATGACATAAAGAAAAATGAATCGTTTCCCTCTGCGGTCAATTTATGTAAACGATTTTCACTTCGGTACTCGTTTGTGTTTGCCTCGCGATTTAGGCCCACGGTGAAACAGGGTTCGAACCCTTTGAAGCGCGAACCACTTCCGGTGACAGTTTCCTCTGCTCTCTTTACAAAGATTATGGTAAGAGCACTCGCTCAATAACTAAGCTCTTACTATTCCGTTTACGACTCGTCAATTTCACGACTCGCTACTCGTGTTATCCAACAACGATTTATATTCAAGTTTTTCGAGAGCACGAAAAAGTAATGAAATAGGAAGTTTCAGTTCAACGATAATAATAAAAGAATGAATTGACGTCGTCAATTAAAAATTGTATAAGGAAGTTAATCACTGTCGTTTTAAATCTTACAGAACGCCGAGTACGGAACGTTTCAAAGGGTTCAATGTTCTCTCCTTAGGAGCATGCGAGTGAAGATGAGATGTCAATGCCTCGAATTATGAAAGCGAAAAAAAGGATCGGCGAGATCTCTCCTTAACCCTTACCGGCTTTCTCATCGTTCGGCTGGCACGAAACCGTAAAATCGCGGCTAGGAATAATCAAATTCGACTCGTTACTTCCCTCCCCGGATAGTAAACGTTCACACGAATTTTTTCATCTATACACTGCGGATTTTATGCATTTACAAAAATGCATTCGATATTGAAATATGTAGAGACCATTCAAATGCTCGTTATTAACTTTAAAGGGTAAAATAAAGTTTACTTTCTAAATTGACATTGCAAATCCTTTGCCTTACATAAAAATCCGCAGTCTATTAATCAAGATAGACTGCTTAAAACGTGCTCAAAAATACGAATTTCATTTTTATTATCATTAGGTCATTCCATAAACAATTACATATTGTTTACTTTAAAACAAATTGCAGTTATTCCGTAAAAATGAATACTTCAACATTTATTATATTGTCTTTCTTAATGACTTTGTGTTATCATATCTCATATTTGATTTATTAAGAAATTTGCATTGTCTATGGGATGACGCTTTAACAATTTCTGTACGCTAGTCACACTAAAGTGTGGCACAAGAGGAAAGATATAATTTAGTTTTCAAGTACGTCCAAATAGAGTATATGTATAGTGTATGTAACAATTTATATTAATTTTTTAGTAGATTCAAAGAGTACAACGATTTGATAATTGTTTCGTATAGCATTTTATACGCGTCAGGGTGCAGCCAGGAAATATTGCACCGAACACGAAAAGATATCAAATTAACCGGAGGTAATTGTAATAATTCATGGAACACCCTGACAGTTTCTATTACCCTACATCATAAATTTAATTATTGCTTTTACGACAACTCGTGGGCTCGTAATTAACCGGAAACGATGGTAAAATAACACGGAAGTAACGTGGGCCGCGGATTGCGGATTCGCTGGAAGATAAAAACCAGTTGCAAAAAAAGTCGTAGTACTCGCGAGGAAGAAAGTCCTACGGAGAGCGCGTTATCTAATCACGATGGTTATCGTTATTTATAAAAATAGTAATAAAACTCGTCGGAGAAACTTCTGTCTCTCCATCATTTCACGTACCGATCACCTTTACGTGCGAACTACTCCATCCTATGACTTTAATAAACTACAGCTCATTTTTCTTTGCCGTAACATTTCCTCATATAAAATGTATACAAAATACTATTAATATTTAAGAAAGTATCATGTGTGATGAATTATGTTAAGAATTACTATAAAAAATTGTATAGACCAACTGTAAAAACCTGCAAGATATTTTAAGGAACACAATATAATGATAGAATTTCTTATTGAAATTTAATGTAAATTTCGCAAGTAAAGATGTCGGTTTTCGTTCAACAATATCGGTATTCGTAGGGGGAGAAGTAACGTGTGAAACGTGTGCGTTGGAACGAAGAATTCGACAATATTAAATACTATTTAAAGAGAGAAATAACGTCGGCGTCGTTCCGACAGTAAGGCTATAAATAATATATCTGGTCTCAGGAACGACGAACGAAGACCAGTGCGCGCGAGTAGTTAAATATATCAAAGTTAAAAGTTAAGACTAACTCGAGAGGTAGCACGAACAATAAAAACATTCTATATTATAATTAATTTTAATTACAGTACCGGACAAAATTGTTCAATTCAATTGATAGCGTCTCTTCATCCTCAGTAATGAAAAGAATTTAAAAAAAATGTGCAATTTTGTCCAGCATGTAAAATTTCGTAAGAATAAGGCTTATAAAATTGGTCTTGCAATCCGTTCGTCGCTCTTGAAACGGTTCTCGCTTGAATCTTCGCATTCGAAACGAGAACTCGTCTCGGAATAACTATATTCGTCTTTTTTTTTTGCTTTTTTTATATTTTTTTTTAATATCTTTCTGTCAATGGTAACGATTCTGTAGCAGCTATAATCTACGACACCGATGGACGAAACTGATCGACGAGGATAACACGTAGGCGGGAATTATTCTCGCGATTCTTTTCCTTAAAGTGGAACCACTCTTGATTTATATAAAAAATCGAGTGCCTGTTTCATTATAAAAATTCAGTTCTTGCCTAACGACTTCACGTAATACTTATTCATATAAGCGCTAAAGAATAACTTAGAATAATTTAAATAATAAATAAAAATATTAAATATTGACTTTTGTACACATTCGCAATGTATAAATTAGTTGGAAAAATATAAATGATCTTTTATTCGATTAATAAAGACACTGTATGTATATACGCCATAATAAAAAATTCTAAAGGATTTCGTTTCAAGCCAAGCGCGGTTCCACTGCGAAATAACTATGGTATCTCTTCACCGTCGATATTGTTAGCTAATGCACGCTAATCGAACGCACGTTCCTCGCTATATCTACAGTTTTCTCTTGATATGCTCGAAACGCGGTCCTTCCTGTTCGAACAGGATACTTTCAAGAAGGTTTGTCCGCCAATTCAATCTTTCCCTACCAGGGAAGTCAAAACTGTAACCGCCCTATTTGTTTCTCTTTCTGAAATTACTAGTCTCTCTAAAGTACTCGACCTCTCTACCTAAACTTATCTATTTCCAGTGGTTTACCCGTCGACTTCTACGTTTGTTTCTTTCCAAAACAAGTTTTATGCAATCTATTAGTCTGCTCTCTGAATAGAATGGAGGCCACAGGTGCGACGGATCGACAAGGATGATAAAAATAGACGGCAGCGTTATTTCCCTAATAATTTTGACTTCCCTGACGACTCATCGCACGCAGCATCAGCACCATTTGTAGCCGATATTCGATAAAACCACTAATGTCTCTACCACGTTTAATTTTTAATCCGGAAATGCTATCTAACTGAAGAAACACGTTCGTTCTCACAGTTCAATTTCTCGATGTTTGTTTATTTAAATACGCCCCCGACTATCAAAACGAGAGACTAATTGTAAATAGTGTACAATTTTGCGTGGTATGCCATTTAAAGCTTGCCGGACTGCAGATTTTTATGCTAAAATAATTTTTAATATCAATTTAAAAAATGCTAGATCGAGATTTTTTTCAAAAATATTTGTATGATGTGTATTATTAATTCGATGTTCTTCACATCTTTGCACGTTACGCGTGTTCCTCATATTTTTCCATGAATGCATAATATCTGCAGTTCACTTATAACTAGATGGTGTATTCTGAACTCGACCACCTGCTGGATCTCTTTTTTTACCTCTCGACGAATCTTGTACATACAATTGAGCAAACCCATTTAAAAGTATCTTAATTCTTTTCGTAACAGACACGATTTTCTGTGAATTGAAGCAAGCCTGCATTGGACTTCATGTTTTTCAGAAAGTCACTAACAAGTTCCGATGAATAATTCGAATTGATTAGGGTCGCTCATTCCTTGTCTAGTTACCTTTGAACAAAACGAGTGAAACTATCCCGGGAACAGAACATCGAAGACATACCACGCGAGAGAACGATAGAAAGACGTAATAATAATCCCCCTCCCCCGAGTTCTAGAAGGACTACGAGTCTGGAAACGGCCATGGCCGTTTCTCAGTCAGTCTATGTCGATCACATCCGGGTTGTCCGGCGATCCTTTGCGTAGTCGTTTGCTACGCATCAGGACCGTCCTCAGGATGCTCGGTGATCGTAGACCCGCGACTTCCGGCCGCGGGGCATGCTGCTACGCGGCCTTGTGCCTCTTCCTCTGTTCCCGCCGCGTTAAATTCGAGGAACCCGGGCTGCCCGAGGGGCCCCTCTCGCAATCCGCCGTCGGCAAAGGCTTCAACTCCCTGAGGAAGATGTTACTGTTAGGTGATGGGAATTTTAATCGATGTTAGATGGGAAGATCGTGATTATTAATGAGATTTACTGATTAGTTTTATTTAATGAAATGTTATTATAAATAAATGTTTTATGAAACAGGCACGAGGACTATAATTATAATTACAAATGTGAAAGATAATGCAAATATCAAATACCAGATCATTTTTGTCTTCATTAATTATTTCTATACATTAGATAATTATCTCGAATGACATTCAAGGATATTTAATCAATTTCGATTTGAAAGTAATCACAGGTACGAAATTTTTTCTCTCTTAATATCTTTACAAAATATACAGCTTTTAGTGTAAAAAATGGTTCGACTCATGACTTCTGAACGAACCTATAATTGAGAAGCTCCTCGTCATCGGGCACTCTGGATATGAGATCAAGTAACTCGTTGTTTGGAACCGAGTGAGGCCGGATGATCTTGCGGAAGAATTTATTGACGCCCCACAGGAGGATAAGGTATCTCAACGGGATAAAGTATAAGACAGCGGCGCCGAGGATGGTGAGGATTATCGCTAGATAGCTTAGGTAAGGTACGGTGAAGTTGAACAGATTCTTCACCCTCTCGCAGAGGCTGGCGATGTAACCGATCGAATTCTGCACGGTCTGGGTCACCTCCTGGATCGCCTGCAACCGCTCCTTCAGACTCTTTTTCTCTTCCTGAAAATCCAATCAAACGCTTTTTCTAGCAATATAATTTAAAAAGAAAATCATTTTCTTTAATATACAATTTTTATGTAGTTTAAATCAAATGAGATTTTTATTATTAATGAGATTAAGGTGACTATGGCAAAAAGATTCTTTACAATTGAATTTGCTGAACAAATTTGAAACTCGAACCCGCTTACTAGCAGGAACGAACGGAAACTTTTCGAGAGACAATGCCATGTGTAATGAGGGTCAATCGTTAATCGACTGACCTCAGAGCTCGGACGATATCGGCACATATCAATTCGTAATTCGAATAGGTCGAGGGGTGAAGATGAAAATACATGACCGTCAATTGTACCCGAATGCAATATTCAGAAAGAAATGCTTAGCCCATTTTATCTAAACTTGAAACTCTGTCTCAATTACTACGAAAAAACCAACGAAACTTATGCACTTTCATAGATTAAAATTACTTTGTAGACCAATTTGTATTTTAAAATAATTGCGATACCATTCTTTTATCATTTCATAAAAATTGCGTTATTTAAATTTACATGTAAAAATAAAAATATGAAGCATACTTTGTCCTTATCGTCGTCGTCGTCGTCGTCGTCCCCAGGCGTGGTGGGACCGTCGTCGACCTCGTCGTGGAAGTGGGCGTTGGAGTGATGGGACAAGGGGGTGCCGGTTAACACCGCAACCTGTCCGGAAACCCATTGATTGAATGCACTTCCGTCTCCGTAAAGCTGGCGAGCAGGTAGCAAGTAACATGGACATGCAGGTCACAACATAAAGGTCAAGCGGCTCAGTTACATAATTTTATCGGTGACGGATTTTTCTTTACAAGCAAGCTTGGGCGTTCGGAATAATATATACGCGCTCTATATTTATAATTAAATTAAACTAGTTCTAAAGTTGTCAAGCATAAATCTCGGGGGGTAAAAGGTGAGTTTCGCTCTATATCCTAACAATTTTATTTAATCAAACAAATAGCAGACACTAATTTCCATAGTATAGAGAGTGGGAAACTAATATGCATAGCTACCTTCTTAAGTGTAAAAGATTTCTAGTATTAAACGTGACAGGCACTGGAGAGTAGCATATAAGTAAGAGGATTAGTAAGTAGATAATAAAACAGGTGTGCTAGGAATATCTGCGTTCACGATTTGAACGTCAATGAGAGATAGCAACGAGTAAGAAACTTGTTCTGACAAGATATATATATATATGTGTGTATAGAGTGAAAAATTTAATCGGTTCACATACCAGGTAATACTTTAACAAAATTAGGAACGCTGCTCCAGGAAACATGTAGGGCTCGAAGTAGAAACAACCTAAAATAAAGATGACAAGCGCCATGATGCTCCTCATCTTGTTTTCCCATTCCCAGCAGCTCCTAATAATAGCAATATGAAAATGCATTATTAAAACAAATTACTAAAGTATCGTTTATTATTATTTGTTTCGTAAATCTACTCTAATCTACTCAATATAGTATTAAAAAATAAATGTATATATATAAGTTTAAACATAAATAAGCAATTGAATTTATCTTATTATGATTATTACAAAATTCAACATGGACTTTCGCGTTTTTTAATCGTCTTTAGTACGAACATTTTACATAAGTGGATTATGTGTTCTGCTGTTACTGACAAGTCTGTATGAAAATTTATTATTGGTTTGCAAACATGATGTTCTATAAAACGGTCGTAAATCAGCGTCGTTAATCATCGTCTTGACGGTCAGTGCGTCATAAACGGTACTTAATTCTCCATTGACTATTTAACGATCCTACACTACTTACTATTATATTTAATAATTTATGGCTCACATTTTGAAAACTCTACTCTTTATTGATTATCGCTATACCGTTTGTTTCTTACTCGAACGATCTTGCATTCAACCGCAAAATCGAGCTACAACCGCGTTCGTTACGAGCTAACGTGGATTATGTTAGGGTTCGCGTGGTTATGCTTGATGTAACTTGTTGAAAAAACGTACGTACTGTATATACTTCCCGATGTCGATGATGATGACAATGATCGCCTTCAGCCTAAGCACATTCCGCAGGAACACCTGCCTCTTGAACTTGATCTCGGGCTCCATATACTTCTTCTCCTTCGGATTCAGCGTTCGAATATAGGCACGGACCACGTTCCATACGACGTTCATCTCTAATAGAATCTGCGGCGAATTCCCCTTGGCCCGACCCCTCAGTTTTTTGTCCTTTAACGCGTACCATCGTTTCTCACCGTTTCTTATCTTCAACAGCGGTATCGCGACCTTTCCGAGAAACTCTACTTTGTGGTCCCTGTCCTCGTCGTACACGGTCACCTCAAGCACCGAATTAATATCCTTTACATTACTGAAATCATATAAAAACGATCCTTTCAAATCCATAGTGGCAGAAATTGTTAGGAAGACTTCATGATAAACTCACAATGTGAATATCTTCTGCCAGTTAGGTGCTAGAGTTTTATATTCAGTCTGGGTCTGCAATCTGGCGTTCACCAATTCTAATACGCAGAACGGATCACTTTTGCCACCCAAATCGGCCGCGGCGAGACCTTGTGCTCTGAATACCTGTTAACAAAAATATACATAACGAGTCTTACAGCTGGAATTTCCAATCTAACGTTTCAAGTGCTTGTAGTGTTTTGATGGAATATAATCCATATGGCACTTCAATCAAGACCATTATAATAGTGAAAATATTCAATCTCATTTGCAACAAAAATAGCTAAACGCATGTGAGTCATAGACAATATAAAAAGATGAAATAATTTGAATCATGTAGACATTTTTATCTCTGATTTGAATTGTATAAACATTTTTATTTCAATTTCGTTATATATTATTTTATGTACAATCGTTATCTGTTGTTTTTAAGACAGTAAATACCTTGACAGTTAAATGACCAACATCCCGCACCCTCTGCAAACTGTTCATCAACCCGTATCTCTGGTACAACTGTTCTCGTTCGCGCGGCGTTTCCTCATGGGCAGCCAAATCACTGATCGTTTCACTAGCAGTAGTACCGCTGATGGTGAGCAACAGAAAAATACTTCCCGATCCATCTTCGAGCTCTCGCCAAAGCCTGTGAGTCGTTTCTCGTTCGAGGGTAGCTAAATTGATCATCGTCCGTCCCATAATATCGTCTTGGTGGCTTTTGTCTCGATCCCAAACGGTCACCTCCAATTCCTGGCCTAAGTAAGGATCCTCGTACAAATGCAGGTCGAACTGTTCCAACCAGACAGGATTCAGCGTCTTGTGCACTACTTTTGACTTGTACTTTTCTGTACCGAGACTGAAATCAAATGAAAGAGTAGGACTTCGTCTCTCTGGAAAATGTTTTATTAAGATGCACGTAATTATGAGGCTTTTTGTTAAGACTGTTGAATGAAATTGACAATACAGTATGAAATAATTATACCGAGTAAAATTTAATATAAAAAAATAAAATCCTTGTATGGTTTATGTTAAAGAATACAAGCTAGAAAAGTTGATTTCGTTGTATAACTGGTTTTCATTAGTGCACCTTCCTTGGGATCATAAAATTGCACTAAACAGAGTGCAAGGACAGAACGATAAAAGGAGGAAGACGTAGAACAATTTTAATAACAAAGAGACTTGTGCAAGCATGGAATAATGGTGTGTATTCATACCGGAACTTGACGTAGGGATCCGAGAGACCGTCTATATCCATCGGTAATAGATTCTTCGCCTCGACGAGAACAATCGTTACCACGGAGCTCCATATTTGCGACTTCAGTCGTCTATTTACGTCCGCCAATCGATTGGTCCTTTGGAAGTACTGGAAACGTAAAAATACGATCGAGTCTTATCCTCTGTTGTTTTCCAAGCTATTTGCCACGGTCATCGATAGGAGTAATTTCAGGGTATCGGATAAGATGTTGCATAGAGTATCACCAGCGATGTTAGTTTTTCATTTGTTTGTCCGATACCCACAAGGTACAATCCTAATCAAAGGATTAGGACTATCATACGCAATTATCTTACGTGCTAATCTACCCTATTTTTATCTTGAGAAGATATGTTTGATTACAGCCTGCAGTGAAAATGAGATATAAAGAATGCAGGTCGAACTGTTCCAACCAAACAGGATTCAGCATGCATCGAAAAAGAGATGTAGGGCAAGATTGAAAGTTTTGTGTCAAACTTTTGTGTTTCTTTCTATTTTCGTTGAACATCGACCTGTGTCATTGAAAGTTATCTAGTTACGAGACTAGATTCAATCTTCTATGTATTTAACTCAATGTTAGAACTCAATTTCCTAGAAGACCAATATGTACTCTCCTTTTTGAACAAAAATTACATGACTTCTCGTTCGAGATAAAACCACCTCGTAATAGATACAGAATTTTATCTGATATAACGCAACACATTTTACTACTTTTTAAGATCTGTATCTTTTAAAGAGATATTGGGAAAATGATAAAATGGTGAAATCTACCCTATGAATGTCCTCCATTTTCTCCTTAACATTGTCCCTCAGCTTATCAAACAGGTCGTAATGCTTCGCGTCCTTCACCTCCAAGACACTGTCAACCTCCAGCTTGGAGTTCTCAGACCTCTTCAACTTGCAATTCTCGTTCTCAGGCCTCTTCGAGTACTCGAACCCGCACTCTATCTTCCCCTCGTTGCCCGCTTCTTCCGGAGTGGTGAATTTAAAATCGAAATTCTCTTTTTTTCCCTCGTCCAAGCTACTCCGCCTTCTTTGAACGATGGAATACGTTCCTGAAGGTTTGCATCGGTCAGCGATCCAACATTCTATGGGTACCAACCACGGATGCTTTTCTACGTTCTCCTCCCATATCTTCTCCATCCGATCTTCCAATATCCTCTCCACAGAACCAATTTTCCTTCCTAGCGAAGACTTCAGAGATCCGATCGTCTTTTTCTCTTTACTTTTGACCGGCCTGTCGATAGACAAGCCTTCTATTCCTCTCACAGAGGAACATTCCTCCGATTTCTTCATCTTATCCCGCAGATTCTCCAACGAGCTCCACCGTCTCGCAGAACACGTGGCCATCTCGTCGTTCGTCTGTGTAGAAAATCTGCTCTCTGATGCATCCAAACATATCGAAACGTCCGAGGCACATTCTTCTTGGATCTCCTCATTGTTTTCCTGATCCTTTTTTCTGAAAGTTCCTTCGTCGCCAGGTGCAGGAAGTTCTCTCAGTTCTCTCAAGCGAGTAGCACTTGACTTCTTTCTAGGTGGTGCCTCAATATTTTGCTTTTCATCATTTTTGTCAATGTCTTTCTCTGGACTCTCCTCAGAGCGGGAGTATTTGTTGTCTAACCGATCGAGGCGCTTGTTTCGGATCGCTCTTTTGAAAATCGCGTCCACCTCACCGTCGAATGACCGGTTCTTTGGGGAATCCTCTTTGTGAGAAAATCTGTCGCGATGATGATCCCAGAATTTTTTCCATTTGTTCTCGTTGCACTCCTCGCTCGAGGTTGTTTTGTTGGATAACTTCGACAGTTTTGTGAAAGAGTTTTCGGACGAGTCGCCCACCTTGTCCCGTTTCCAAAACCCACTTCCGGTACGATTTATCGGTTCCTGGTCCATCGTTCCAAATTCTGAAGGCTGCCTTCCCTTCTGAACCTTTATTGTGGCTGGAAGCTGTTATACAAGTTACTTTTGCTGCTGGTTGGTATCATTTTTATCGTTTGGTTCCCTGGATTGTTGAAAAAACTGATAAGTAACAGAGAAAGTTTCTTTCTCATCGCTTCTATCTTAAAGTATTTCTTGTCAGCTCTTCTTGTTTCTTGTCGAGCTTAACTTTTTCTGTTTTCGAGTTATATTATGCTTGTTCGAGACTTGTTTCAGTCTCGAGTTCTTTTTCCATCCTATTTTACTTAAAAACGAGTTTCCCTTGAGATAATCCTTCTTTTTTATAAGTGGAATTTGAGTGGAAGTGAAGGAAACTCACGGTTGGTCATTTGAATAAATAATTCTTTGGTCAAGGTTGAGATCTTTTATGAATACTGCTATTGAAAATACTCTTCCACTGTTCAAGTTAACTTGCAATTTAATTTTGATGATTGGCAACCATGTCCACACGTTAATAATGCTAACGAGTCTTCTTTGCTGTTCCTTGGACGCCATTCATCTTCGTTTCAGTCTCAATGATATTACAACTTTGGTCGTTATTTCCTTTTACAACACGTTCACACAAGAATTCTTAAAAAGAAAATTCAGATAATTTGAATCACACAATGCACTGCACGTTTAATAATTCTCAATTACTGATTGATAATTAATCGAAGCTTTCAAGTAGAAAACCGATCGCAAAAGTTGTAGGAACTCTATCTTTTAAACTGTCTGATACATCGCGACAAAACCAACGCTATCAACACCTGTAAGAAAGGCGGGTAACAACAGAGTGTGTCTGAATCGCAATTCTATCTGGACGAAATCGATTCTTGCCGAGAGTGCGAGCGCCTCGTCCTTTGGAGATCGCGTGACCACGTTCATTAACAATTTATTTCGGACCAACGTTCAGATCGAAGTTACCTTGAAATCGATAAACATATCACTAACAATGTTTTGCATTATCTCTACTATAATTCATGTAATTTTATGAATAATGTCGATGAATAAGTATATGAATTTTCATATAGATTCCTGCATGAATTTTTATATGAATTTATATACAAATTTTTATATAAGCTAGTACGTAAATTATTTGTATGTTCTGTAGGAAAGAAACGAATTTTTCTACGTGGATTGCATATGAATTTTGTAAACGGAGAACAGCAAATTGAATGATTACGAGAACACGTTCAAGAAAACAACAAGTCATGTTTTTTATTTATTCAGATACAATACTTCTGATTTAATTACAGATAACATCTATGGATAATGATGGCATGAGTCAATTTCTTCAGAATCGTTATAACAAAAAAATTGCCTCTCATGTATGGAACATTTATTGGAACGATTAAATTTATGACAAAAATGCATGATTAAATGCATGTGCTGTGTCAAAACAAAGTAGATCCGGTTCTGATGTTACGATTTCTAATGTAATTCGAGTCTTCTAATACGAATAGACGAAACGGAACGCGAATTACCGGAGCACTTAGCGGTTAGCGTCATTGTGAATCATCAAGAGACGGTCACGTGTAGTGTGCGCATACGTGCGGCTCGAAGTTGCGATCTCTACGTCGTATCTCGATCACAAGCCCAGACCCTGCCCCATTTTGCTATTTAAATGCCACCGAAACCGCTTCCTCTTCCTCTCAGCGAGGCAAGGCTCTATTCTGGCGCGTTTCACTTATTGTTGATACATCTTCATACCACAGTTAAAGAAAGGGTGTGAAAAGAAAACGATGACAATGTGCCGCGAAGATAAAAGGAGTTACGCGACCGTAAGAGGCGTTATTTTTAGAGATGGATCGTTCCTCTGGCCCGCGCGTTCAATAATCGATGATTTTTGGCTTCGTTCTCTCCGACACAATCACTTCTGCTGATCTTTTCCTCCTCGAAATTATTAATCAAACTTATCAAACTTAATTCTTAATCTATGTATAAATCCAATTAAATTCTTTTAGAAAAACAAGTCACTCAGATGGGAAATATTTAAACATTTATTCACTATCAATTACAATTTGAATTTGTTAACACGTTACTCTTTACCAAAGATTAATTCCTGAAAATTTACAATATTATTATGTACTTTTACTAAACTTACTATTATTATTGCGGACACGAAATATCTATTTGGAAACTATTTAGTATTTGCTAGGTTTTTTTAAGTAAAAATACTAAATGTTTAGAGTGGTTGCAGGTGTAATGACTTTTGACGGTGAGATAAGACCGCGAGCACCGTGCTTACACAAGTGTCGGTGCGTTACTGGCTAACGATAGGATTTAACTCGACAGCCGAGCCTGTCTCTCCCTCTCCAAACTCATGAGGAAGTAAACATCGCGATATCGCGAACATAAGTTTAATGTGCTGCTCGCATTGGCGTAACCCACCGATTTTAATCTCCCATTATTTTCCCAATTCTTTAATAAGAATTTTATTGTGTAATGATAAAAATGTGCTTTCAGCTTTATTTGTATAAAAGCTATTTTTTCAAAACTTTCAGTTACATAAGAATGTTGATCATTTTTTAAGATTATTTCAAACACGAAATTTATCAATCTTGACCATGAACGTAAATTTCCAAAACGACCTCGAAACTCATCCAATTTCCTGTAAGCTTAAACTATAGGCATGATATTTAACTATTGCACAGTGATTAATACCTTGTTTCTACTTGTTAATTACTGTTCAATTAAGTTCTCTTTAAAGTCGATTGATATTGTTACATAAAGCGAATCTTTTTAATTCAACAGTATCTTCAAACGTGAAAAACTGTGAACGTTGTTTTATACAGAATCGTGACAATGAATAGCACGTGTGACGACTTAAATTCTAATTTCATCCACGGATCCATTAACGCCTGCCATATCAATTTTACCTTCAAACCGATATGCTATTATGTTCTCATTACTAAAAAAAAATGATCATTAAATATTATTTAAATAAAATAAAAGTAAAACAAAACTTTATGCAATCAGTTAAGTAGATAATAAAACAAAGTTTCTGGGAGAATTTCAAGTGTTTTAAAAATGAACAGTAAAACTTTTAACTTAGTTCAGTTTGATTAATGCTCCTATTGTGGCAATATAACAAAACTGTTACGTAATTGCAAGGAAAACTTCCTAAAAAAGAACTAATTTACAACGAACGTGTTCATTTTCACAATACTTAATGAGAATTTGCTGTTGGATTTCTTTCGAAATTTGGGTCAAAGTCAAATTACAAAATCGGCTGGTGTCTTCTCCTATTCGTCATAACGTGGGAGCGGCTCGTTACGGCTTTTTCGTAGAAATATTGATTATGACGTTCACCTGACATACAGAAACCCCTGACGTGCAACTATGTACAATCACGAACATTATGTACTCATTTATGTATGTACTTTACATCCTACACATGTTTGCTGGATCATAGCACAATCGCAAGCCAGCAATTTGCATTCGGTTATGTCATATCCTGAGAAGCTGTATTTATACTTCGAACTATCGACGTCAGACTGATTTTTCAATTTTTTTGTCCAACGATGAATCTCACAATCTTTATGCATATGTATTATAACTTTTTTTTTCATTAAGCCTAACATGGTCATTCTGAATTAAACTGAACTTTCAATTTTTTATCCAACGATGAATCTCACAATCTTTATACATATGTAGTATGACTTTTTTTCATTAGATCTGACGTGGTCATCGTAAATTAAACTGAACTTAATTATACTCTAGAAACGTGAGTTACTTAATAATTAAGTAACATCACTTCTACTTAGTAAAAAATTATCGTATTATCGAGAATGATTATTATCTGTCATTGTCTTCAATTGATTGTCTTGATATCAAATCTTATCAGAGACGCCTGTATCCTAAAGCGGGCATCTATAATTTAAAACCTATTCTATAGAATTCTGTGTAACACTCGACTATAGTTATTTGTTGATAGCTGTCTGTCCACACTTTGAAACTTTCGACTGTAATACTGGCTAGGTTCTAATCGTAGACTGTCAAAGTTCACCGTCGAGGAACTTATCGTTTTTCGATATTCCACTGCGTGGGTGGCGCCCGGTCTGCTAGAGAGCTTCCAATTGTTTGTTACCCGCCGTTTAAAGTTGCCCACGAGAAACTGTCTCAGGCACGCGTGAAAGCCACAAAAGTAGCGAAACTAGGGCCAACGTTGTCTGACCAATTCTCTGTGTTCATGCTGGACCCATTCTATTAATTTTAAAACCAGTTGCGCAAGTTACGTTTCTTTTTAATGAACTTTCAAAGCGAAGGAATGTTGTGCGTCGAATGGAGTCTTCTAATTAGGACGAAAGGTCTCGCGACAAGCGAAGTTGCTGTTTGTGATATCGGAAAATTTACATGTTATGCCGGTAGGCGATAGGGGTTGTTGCATCATTTCGGATGGCCGTTATCTTTCTGGCACGAGTCGCGAACGGAATTTTAAATTACTGCACATGAATGAATGGAGGTGCGACAAAAGCATGTAAATTGACGTTCTGTATACATACATATATGCATTGTCGCAAACGTGCCCCGAATCGCTTTTCATAACAGTGAGAAAATTAGACTATACAGATATTAGGAAAACAAAATTCTTCTTTCACTTGTAAATCAATTGAAAATCTGTCTATTTATTTTTCAAATTATATTCTTAACAATGGATTTGTCCTAAGTAAATACCTGTTCTTTCTCCTGTTGATTCCTGGGCCATAAAGTAGCGGTCAGGTAAATCTCTCCCAGGTGTTGCTTGGGCCTATTATGGTCCTTCAGCTCCAATGCAATATCCTGCGGTTGACCCAGGTCCAGCTGTGTGAGGTCCAACTGCGCGGCGCCCATAAAATCATCCTGCAGGCCCCAGTCGTAGTCGAAGACCTGTCGAAACGACCAAGGTCTTTTGCTAGTCGAAAGAAAGAGCAACAGTCTGATAAAAATCCTAACGACCATCTCGACACTGTGCGATTCTTTTTGCATACCAACACATCTTAAATTTTAATAATTATGTTGATTGATGATCAAATATTTCCTGTTCTTTCTCTAATGAATTTTTCAATTGGTTCGATCTTTATTCAGGTGAATAAAGATAATTAATTTAACATAATTCTCATCGATTTTATTTTGTATGAAACATATTTTGATCTACCATATGTAATTACGTTAGTTTAAATAAGGAGGAATTATGAGCACTTTAAAAAGTCTATTGGAGTGTCAAAAAGAATGTTTAAGAAATCAGTCAACACTAAAACTGATTAGGGAAATTAATTGATTTCTCTCAAATTGTGAATTCTTCAATTAATTGAGTTAAGATCGATTTCGTTCTGTACCATAATGGCGGCCACTGCCATAGGGGAGGAAATGATTGCAATGTCTTACCTTGAAGGTAAGAGGTTGAAAGGGATCTTCTATAGGCAGGGTAACGCTCTCGTCCCAAACTGGATTTAGGTCGCGGTGAACGGTCCGCGACTTGTGCAACAACCGACCCGCAGATTTCACTTTCACGTAAGGATCGCTGGCGCCTGGAACACGCAAAATCGATCCCATCGCCTTCGTAAATTCCATCTCGCAGGCGTTATTCGCTCAATTGCAATGTTTTCGTGAATGAGGAGACCGAACACGTGAAACTGGGACAACTCATGTTTCTCCAGTTTGCTATTATGTATGGTAATAGCAAAATGAGTACAACGTACGGGATAAATCAATAACTGTTATTCAAAATGACTCAGTATTCACTGATTTAAAAATAATGATTTGCAATTTGGTACATGCAAGGATTCAGTAAAATCTATTAAGTAAAATATTCGTAAACAAATAAGCAATTATTATCAATTTTCTGTGAAAATACTCCAACAATTTCCTACAGATATTGGAACAGCAATATTTTTTACTTCGATAAATAACATCGAGATAGCAGTATTTTCGCTGGAGAAATATACGACGGAATTGGGACAGAAAAGGTAGACGAGAAACAATAATGCAAGCTCTGTCGTACTGTTTACTTATTCTCTTATATAGAACTGTGCAACATGTAAAAACACATAAAAATAAACAGGAGCATTTGAAACAACGCAAAGAAATGTAAGAATAATTGAAATCGTCATTTCAATAACAATACCACAAGATTTGAATACCATTAGTTTTGAAAAAGCTTTCAAATCAAATCCACTTGTACGGATCAAAGGACCCAATTTAAGCTAATTTGGCCCGGCCCTCTTTTCACGGCCAACAAAGGCGTTTCCGCGTGATAAAATGGAACAGAGATAAAAAAGAGTGAAAAGTTCTATCGCTCACCGCATCTGTCCATAGCGACCAGATTCGCTCCTCTCCTGATGTGCAATCGAAGCTGGAAGAAGGCATGCTGTCTCAACAGCAATTCCCTTCTACGTGACGCTTCCTCATGCAGGAACGCGGTATCGTCCTGGCTGATCGTCGATCCCCGAGCTTCCTCGTTCGAATCTCTCGATGGCTGGAAACTTAAGGATCCCTTCGAGTGGCCCTCGCTACTCTTTCCCGGACTATCCTCCGGCCTCGTCACGACGTTCTGCCTTCCCCCACGCACCAACGGCGATTCTGATTAATTAAAAATATAGAGCAATATTTTTTAGAAGTCGGAAAGTCGATGAGTGAAGTCAATTTCTTGTCTGAAATAAAAATTCTTATCACGAAATCATATAATTTGATCGATATGATAAAATCTGTCAATTATTTACTACTTCTTGTCATAATTTTACTGACAGGATGAAATTTCCTTAATTTTCGAACGGATTTTATAATAAATTCTATTATTGATAAGGTGTCATTAAAAAAAGTCACCTGGATGATTAAGATAATGTCTGGCCGGGCTTTGGGTGGCCGAGGAACTTTTACTGTGCTCGGAGGAGTAGTCGGCCGCATAGTCGGACTCGACGTTCTGCGCGAGGACGATGCCGGCATCCTTGGATTTCTTCCGTTCCTTGCTTCGATTGCGTGCCCAGCGGCTCTTCAAGGTGGCGAAGAAAGTGTGCGTGCGCTGGGCCACCGACGTGCCGTGTCGCCGATGATGGTGGACGACACTCGGTGAGGCTTGTTCACCGCGTCGTGACGGCGAACTGCTGTTCTCGTTGTTCCGGAGCTCCGTGGCGCTTTTCGAGAGCTGACGGCTCCCGTTCAGGTTCAGTCTGGACCTCTCCTCCACGCTATTGTCTGCAATATTGACCGATCAAATCGGCCAAGGACACTCTCAATTTTTAAGTGGATTATTGGAGATATTCTAGTTACATACTATTTTCAATTAATTTTTTATCATAAATTGATAAAGATGTTTCTATTTTTGGTATCATAAAATAAAATTAATGAACATATTTCTAATATTGAACTATTGATGATTCATTTAAAAACTAAAGCTATTCGTATAATGAATCATGAATTGGATATTTACAGTGTATTTTTGACGTACCTTAAAACCAGACATCGCTACAATACTTCTAAATCCGGCAAGTGAACCGTAAATAATAGAATCACATTCGAGATATTTAAACCATTTGTTGACTCATTTACTACATTTCAGTTACTCAAAATAAATATAGATTCTGCGGATTTGGAAATACTGAAATATTCAAACGGCCGATGGAAAAAGCTTGAAAGCTGAGCAGAATATCGTTAAGTTTCGATCGATTTCCAAGTGCACGAGAAAGCTACCCGAGCCTTTAATTCCTCCAATGAGGTCGTTACAATCCCGTCCACAAAGGCGCGTAATTACTAACAGTGAGAGGGTAGTCGGGCTGCAGTGCAGGAAAAACAACCAATCCGTCTTTTGTCCCGTGCTTCATCCCTTTACAAAATTATTTACTCGTACTTTATCCTCATTACACACTTCATTATACATGTACACCTTCGCACAAATCTTACTTTTCAACATTCTTATTTCATTTTTTAACATTCTCGCTTATAGAGTGTAAGAAACATAATTTAAAATTATCCTGATTGTCCACTGATCATTGGTTTTATTATAAAACCTGACAGACATACATTTTAATTTGTCAAAATATAAGAATGAATTCATCATACGAATTAATATACAACGTGTTTTGATAACCATTAAAAAACAAATTACAGTATAACATCATTTCGTTTCCCTAAGTTTTAAAGAATTTCTTCAACATAAAACTACATATCGATTTCAAATAATCCGCGACCATTTCCGACAACAAAAAGTGTAAAAGTGGGACGTTTGATGAAGCTGCCACCCACGTATCTAGAGCAACTTGTCAACCTATTAAGCAAATACGTATGCATCGAGAAATCGTTATGCAAATGCAAGTTTTAATTTACTTTACCAATCAGGATAGATACTATCCTAACTAGTCACCTAATTCACCAACACACCCATTAATACCTAATTACAGTCTGTATTACTGTATACTGTATACATTGTTCCTACATTCAATATTTGCTTATAGATTATAGATTGAACTGTTTCATTATTTACTTGATTAATCAAACAGTCATTAATTATTAGGGAATAGGTATTAATAATACAGTGGAACCCGTCAATATGTATGTTAATTAAGAAATACGAGTCAATAGGTAGGTCCTTTAGAAAGGGTTATTAATGAAAGGGTTAATCCTATCATATTTGCTAGCCTGTCTGTACAAAGCTGGCGATCGTGCAACCAACTTATTAAGCACGGCTAATTGCACCCCGAAGGAGACGTTCCAATCCAAGTTCCATCCGGGATTACTCAACGCGGAGCTGATAATGGTCTGGATCAGATGTACTTATTACACAGAGAACTTATTACACTTAGTTTGCCTTTTTAAAGCTAATACTTTATGCAAAAAAGATCGATACAATACAAGCACACAATTTTTATAAAATTACTTGTTCTGCAATTTAAACAAAAATCTTTTACTATGAATTAATTAATAAAGAAATTATTGAAAAGAGAATCTAAAAGCTAGTAGCGCCAAGCGAATGTCGCATTTATGAGATACCCCTTATCGCGTTTTAAAAATAATAGCGCAATGCATAAACGGACGGGACACCATTCAGCCGAGCTAGAAAAAACGGTACAAAGCTTGGGGTAAATTGGAAATAGCATAGGGAATTAGAGACACTCGATACTTCGGTTAAAAGGCAATCGA